CGGATCGCCATTGAGTCTGTACAATGCTGCCTAAAAAATATATTTATATTATTTAATTAAACATACTAAAACAATAATTAATAGCCTCAAAAATGTATGATTTACATCATTTTTATACCTGATCAATAGTAGTCTTTTGAGTAACAGATGCATCTGGATTGCGATTGGGTGGATCAATAATTGGAATAATATGTGGAGATGTAGTCTTGGCTTGCAAACTATTAACACCTACAACATATACTGAGATCTGTCCTGTACATAATTTTTCTTCACTAGTAGCATCAAAAGTATCATCTGTAAAAAGTATTTATTACATTAAACAGTTATTAAATTATTTATTATTAAATTAATATTGGAATTTTCAACATTTTTAAATTGAAATAAAATCTATATTCGTCTTTAATTGCATTTCATTAGGAACATACGTTGAACTAGGATCACTATTCCCTTTTTTTTGTGAAGAACATCTAAAATTTTGTAGACTGTCTTTACTTTAGCTTCTCCAGATAGTACTTTATAAGTTTCAAAATATTGTTCTCCATGTAATATCTGAAAATAAAAGTAATAAAAATAATTATATACGAGCATTATAAATTTATTGTTATTTATGTTCTCATACATTCATAGGATTTATCTGTAAATCAGGTAGAGCATTAGATATAATTGAATTTCTCATGCACCCCATTACACCGAAAGCTATGTAATAAGTAGGTAAAATTGCAAAATTCTCATGGTTTTCATATAAGTAACGTAAATCGGATGGATTTTCAATAGTTGCTCCAACTGAAATCAAAATTACCATTTTTATATATATATGTTTATAACTTACATAAGTTTTTGTTTTTATATATATCTATGTATACAATACCTCCAAGAGCATACAGGATGCTATCTCGACTATCGTAATTAGTGTATAGAACATTATCATCCTAATGAAAAAATTATCAAAAGTATTAATCAAATAAGTAACAATAAATCATTAATAAATAATATGTAAATTGTTCCTTACGATCTTTTTGTTAGAAACGCCATTCTTTAAATTGTCAATAATATTCATCTGATCTTCTACTATTTGCTACAAATTATCAACAAAAAAAAAATAATAATTGATAATATAATACTATATTAATTTTTATATATTAATTATCCTATAATTTATATATACCTCTATATTAGCTGCATATTTAGCAGATGTCATATCTACGATATCTGACCAATTTTTTTGTACACTTTCAGGTGTAACAATATCATTTAAATTTGTTCGTAAAACACATCCTGGTGAGCGAACAATATCACCTACAGAATTTTTATAGATACATAATATATAAATGCGAACAATGTTACATTTTTCATGGTATAATTTCTGTAAAATTTATATGCTTACATTTTCTTACCCAACCTATAGCTGATTCAATAACTGATCCAGTTTCATTGCATTTTTCATGACACAACCAAAAAACTATTGGAGCTATTAATTCTGGTTTTAATTCTTTAAATAGATCTAAAAAAAAAAAAGAATTTAGAAATTGCTAATTATTTTGTACAAATATTGTATAAAATAAAAATTGTATAAAGTAAGAGTTGTAACATAACAAAGTTATTATATTATATTAAAAACGAAAATGATTATGATAAATATATAAATCCTTACCAGGAGGAATAATATCTTCTGTAAGTCTGGATGCTGCAGTTGGTACAATGACATTAATACATATATTTTTTTTAGCACCTTCAATTGCCAAAGTTTTTGCAAAACCAACTAAACCCATTTTTGCAGTACTATAATTACTTTGACCAAAATTTCCGCATAATCCACTATTACTTGTAGTAAAAATGACTTTGCCATAATTCTGTTTACAAAAGTATGGCCATGCTGCTTGAGTTGTTTTAAATGCACCCTTAATATGAACATCTTGTATCAAATCTGTACAAAGTTGATAAAAATAGAGCATATACTTAATATCAAATTTACACCTACAAAATAATTATATACTAACCCCAATCTTTTTCTGACATTTTTGCAAAAGATTTATCCTTCAAAATACCAGCATTATTAACAACTACATCAACACGTCCAAATGTATTAATAGCAGTTTTAATAATCTTAGCGCCATCCACAACTGAATTATAATCAGCCACTGCTTTTCCACCTATGAAAAAAGAAAAAAAGAAAAAAAGAAAAAAAAAATAATTATAACTTATATATGATCATATATTTGAAATTAATAAAAATTTGCATATTGTAGAAATTCTAAAAAAGTATATATTTTATTTATAAAGAAACATTTTATATTTCACATAAGATAAAATAAGAAACGTTTAAATATAACATTTGTTATATAAAATGTAATATTTAATTAAAATATTTATCATAAAAATATAATATTTAAATCTTTTTATATGTAATTTATAATATATTGTAAGGTATTATTGTTTTAGTATTTAATTTAAATTATATGAACTAAAATATAAAAAATGCTAATTATTGAAAAGCAAAGGAAATCCTTACCATTTTTTTGTATTTCAGCTACAACATTATCTGCAGCTTGACTACTTTTACCATCACCATGCCGTCCACCTCCTAAATCATTCACTACAATACTAGCACCTCTGGAAGCAAATAATAATGCATATGCACGGCCTAAACCTGCATATACACAATAAATAAAATTTTTATTAGAATAAATTATTTTGTACAACAATGAAATATATGATTAATATAATAATCATATTAAAAATAATTATTAAATAATTATTACAAATTTGAATTACCTGCACCAGCTCCTGTCACTACAACTACACGATTATCAAATCGTAGTTCTGTCATTTTTATCTTCTTTTTAATGATTTAAAATAAATGGTTATAGAATTTCAATATTAAAATCGAATCGATGTTAACAACCGACTTACTTTATTAATAAGGAATATCGTCAATGATGCAGCAATAACAAAATTGTTAAATATTTATGTTCTGATTAAAGTCCATCTAGTTCTTTACTTCCCTATATAAAAATTATACATCACCGATTAATTATTTATTTAACTCAGAATTTTAATACAACATATAACTGATTAGAGTTTAGAAGAGAGAATTTTACATTAATAAATATTAAAAGAATATTCTTTTATTCATTTATATTCCATCATTGATATTAATTATGTTACAACATATAGTACTTATTTTATTTTCAGATATAAAAAAAGGAAACTTTTCCAACTATAGCCAATAAGAAAAGAGAAATGATTATGGACAAATTGCAAACAAGAACTCTAATAGATATATTTACATACACATTAATAAAAAGAAACGGTTATAGCTTTCACAATTTTATTACCAAACATTATTATTTATTCGTGATTTCTAATATGTTATCTATTAATGAGTTCTAATACGTTACATTCTTATATTAAGAGTACATCAATTCTGTTAAATGATTGGTTGATACGATATATTCCTATCTAGTCTCATAACCTATCAATCTCATCATCGTATGCATTTTAACTTTCAACCAATCAGTGTTAAACGTTTAACCAATCACATTCTTGCAACAATGCAGTCAAAATGTTACGTATCATTCGCTAAGTGTTGTATATTGGAAACATCACAAGCTGCGTATAAAAGAAACGTGGTGTGATATTAAATCGTTTCGAAGAAGCATAAATAACAAAAAGTTCCTTTTCTCTCGAGACGAAGAATTGCATTAATTGGAATATAGTGGCATATCTATTAGACAAACTAATCATGAGCAAATTATTTCTTCGAATAAGTAGGCATATTTTGAGCAAAAACCAACGATTCATTCTGTTACATTTTGTATGAAATAAATAAATGCACAAAAATAAATAATAATAAAAATATTTTATATTTTCTCAATGAATGTTCATTATTTTTCTATTGATAGTTATGTTTATTGCCTGCTGTTATCTCGAACGCAATTCCATTTTGTCATGGATTATACGCCCTATGTACAGAGTAATTTAAAAAAATCTTAATATAAAATAAGAAATCGATCGTAGGTCTCTTATGATAAAAAACAATAATGTAATATATATTTTAGGAACATATGTATAAAATGTTCCTTCCCTTTTTTCCTTTATTAAACGACACTGTTTCGATATTCAATAATGTATATAAAAACAATATAAAAATAAGAATTATGAGACCATATTCGAGGATCATACAATGCACAAAGTACCGTTGACCATATTTAATCCGTTTGTTTAAGAACAAAGGTACCTGAAGAAATATGAATGAAAAAACGATGTGTTCAGCAAAAACACATATTTTCACGTAATTCGTTGTTGCACATATATTTCAAAAGAACACAAAAAGAAATATAACGGCTTAATATCATAACGAAACTATGATCAAAAGACAGTATTATGCTTTGTAGATCGATTGAATTATTACATCACAATAAAATCGGGAAGCATCGAGAATAATGGAGGAGTTGAACGAAAGTCATCAAATGATCGAACGCAACTCGATAATACGTTCGGCGTGTATTGAGTTTCAAAGATAAAATATAAGTAAACGTAGCCGAACGGATAAACGCCAAGAAGCAGGGATAAAACTGAGATAGCTTGGTGGAAGCTTCTCTACAAGGTAAATAAGAAAGCAGCGACAAGGAAGAACGGCGGCGATGGATGTCGCGGTGTGCATTCACAAAGCATGAAGAAGGTAGAAGCAAGAAGAGGGGAGAGGAGAATGAAAGAGAGTGAGAGAGGGAGGGGAATAAGGAGAAAGAGAAAGAAAGAGAAAGAAAGACAGATAGATGGATAGATAGATAGATAGATAGACGGATAGAAAGAGAGAGAGACAGAGAGAGAGAGAGGGAAAGAAAGAAAGACTGAGAGGGGACGGTAGATGCGTGTAGATGGTAAAAGACATCGATAGAGAGCGCGACGAGCGTCCTCGTCGTTTGGGGGCATCGTCGGTAGGGATGGATGAGGGAGGCGGAGGGAGGTCGGTGAACAGAGCTCGTCCAACCGCGAGAAGGAGCTAGTAGCGCTCCTCCGGCGGTATGAGGCGGCGTGGGGCTAGGGACGATGCTTGGGCCGCGACTAGGAGGCACTCGGGAGGCAGGGAGGGCATGCGAAGGAGCACAGTTCAGTAGTCGCCATTGCAAGTCCCCCTGTGCTCTCGTATTCGCGACACTCGTACGCGTGGAGCCGATTTTCCGCTAACCTAAACTCCCCGCGAGGGCCCAAAGTGTGCCCCCCCGATGCAGAGATATTGCACGGAGCTCACCGAAAGATTATTAAAATCCCTTGACAAGGAATACAATGTAAGTAGCGGAGTGAATCCGCGATGCGCCGTCCGTCCGCTCGCGCAAACGGCTATCGGGCCACTCTCGATCCCCCGTGCGCCGTGTGCCTGTACCAGTGGCGTGCGCGAGAGCCGTCGAGAATGTAGTGTAGCGACGGCTCTGCGTGTGAGTGATCCATCTTACGTGCTATCACGTACGTGTGGATATCGCTCCACGAAACATACCCTTTCCCTCCTACCATTACGAGATTGTGTGCGCTCGCTTGCATATCCATCCGTGAGCGCGTTCTCGACAACCTGGAGGCTTAACCTCTCTCTCTCTCTCTCTCTATATATCTCTATCCTCTCTCTGTCTCTCTCTCTCTCTTCTCACTCTCACTCTACTCTCTCTTTCTCTTTCTCTTTCTCTCTCTCTCTCTCTCTCTCTCTCTCTCTCTCTCTCTCTCTTTCTCTCTCTCTCTTTTTCATGCTAAATCATCTACGCATACAATTTTTCTTCTTCTTTCCCTGATATTACGGAAACACGTCTCCAGGATACGCATGACATTCGTTTCACCAGTAGTTCTTGATTTCTGTCAACGAACTTCCCTCTTTTCTTTTCGTCGTTTTGTCTTTTATCTTAATTATAACGTCGTGTCGGTTGACGAATATCGTACGTTGTACGTACGTAGTCGTGCACAATTGCACATGATTCTAATATACATATATATACACGTATATGTATGTGTGTGTATATATGTATATATATATGTCTTTCTCTTTCTCTCAGTCGCCTTTTTCTCTTATGGTGTATCTATTCTGTTTGTCGAAACACTAAACAACATAACTTTTGGCTTGTTTCGAAAGTAGAATCGCGTTCGTATGTTATGCGTTCTTAAAAAAAAACAGTTATTTGTTTCATGCGATTGGTTTCTTTTGTCGTTTCACGTTGACATATTGATACGCCAGCTCGTAATGATTCGATCTGATTACGTTTCGTTATTGCTTTGTAAGCCTTACCTGATCGATCTAATAAACATATTTTTACGTACACGTGTCGAACCCTTATATTTAATATGTTCATTGATTTATCTTTACAGATAGTTCTCTATTTATTGTAATTCTCACTTTCAAATTTAGCCTTTGCATCTAGAATCATATGCTTGCCTCAAGAAAATTTATTTAGTATAACTTTCATTATATTGATATTTGAAATATAATACTGTTACTTAATAATTTTAACAGTGTTGAATATACCCATTCCATTTGTGATAATTAATTTTACAAAGAAAAAAAAGGTGATGTAAATTAATTGATAATTATAACATGCAAAGACAAAAATGTTTAATAGGTTGGAATATTTAAAATTAGTATGAACTTGTAAATATATTTAATTACTTTTTATATCACTTTATTGTTGATTCTATTATAACAATTTAATTTTATTTCAGTATATATAACAAATGTCTTCTTCAATAAAAAAGAAACTAACTAAACTATTACATATAATTATGTATTTACATTTAAAGGATGCAAAATATAAACAAAAAGATATATATTTTGTAGGTCGTTGACATGGGAGCTGTTGTTGATGTCATTACGGCCCTGGAAAAGACGACGATCACCAAAGAAGTTCTGGAGGTATATATTTTTAATGTATATTATATATAAGGTAAAGAGAAAGAAAAGAAATTTAATCTTTATGTAAAAACATCTGTAAACACTGAATTAATTTTAAATAATATAGATTACAAGGCTTGGTAAATATATTAACGAACTACGAAGGAAGACAAATAATGATGCCCTGGCCAAGCGTGCAAAAGATTTGGTACGTCGTTGGAGAGATATGGTTTTACCATCAGCTCATTCAACCCCACAACCGACACCTGCTGATACAGCACCACCTGCCCTTAATGGAGCAAAGCCTCATAGTCCAGCCTTAAGATGTTTCAAACCACAAAGTCCTGCTGTAAGATGCTTGAAGCCTCAAAGTCCTCTATTAAGGGATGCTACTCCTTTAAGAGTGAGTTTTTACATTTAATTACCTATTATCATATTTCTCAAATGAATTTAATTTATAAAAAATTATTTTACATCAATTCATTACTCCCTTTTAATTTTATTTGTTATTTGACATGATGTAAATTAATTTTGATAGGTTATCAGCCCAGCTCTATCTGTGCATAGTGACCATTCACGGTCTCCTAATGCAGCTTCAAATAAGCAGTCAATTACACTTACTAGCAACCACCGGATAAGTTCGGATGTACCTCCCACACATAGCTCTTCGAGTCAGAATCACTTGATAGAAGCAGTGCCACGGACCCACAGTTCCAATAAACGACTTCGAAAAGATGTTTGTAAGGACCAACATAATTACCAGGAACATGAATCAGACTCGATTACAGAATGTGAGCCATTCGTTAAAAGACAGCGTTTGAATGGCGAAAACATAAGTGGTAATTTAAATTCGCAAGTGCCTAGCCCTACATTGAAAGAACGAATTTCCCATCATTTTGTGGAGTCTTCCACTAATCCTGATGATTCAGGTCCAAAAAAACGTGGTAGGAAAAAAGGCAGTAAGTCTATAAAGAAGCAACCATACATAGAGGACCGTGTTAAAGAAAAACTAGCCAGTATTTCAAGAAATCCTAAGTTAAAGACAACACAAGAATTGCTGGCTGATTTACAAGCACGTGGCTCAAATTCTAGCATTAATTCAAATGCTCTACCTAGTCAAAGTGTAGAACCACCAAGTATGGAAGATGTTTTGAGGAGTAATAATGAACAAGTATCCAAGTTCCTGCGTTGTACTCCAAACAATACATCTCACAAAAGTACAGTTTCTGAAACTTCTTTACAAAATCGGTTAAAATCTACAGAAAACTGTTGTGAAATATCATCCAAGTGTCAAGAAACAAGTGCAGTGTACGAAGAAAGTCCAAGTACGCAAAACCAACCACAATCACATCAAGATTTATCGGTTGAGGAGATACTGGCAAAGTTACCACCATTAGATCCAAGTTCGATAGACTGGAGTGATTGTGAAACTGAACCCAATGAAGATCAAAATGGTACAGTGTATCCACCTCAAGAAGTTACTACAGAGGACCTTGAAAGATTACATACGCAGTGCATAGAAGGTCTCAATGGGAATTATCAACCAAAATTATTGTCTCTCGCTAGTAACAATGAAACGTCAGAAAAAGAGGAAGGAGTGTCAGAATTAAATGTAATGAACTGTGAGCATAGCCAAACTGGTGAAGAATTTCGAGAATGGCACCAGATGCTGGCAAGGCCCAGTTGTGATGGCCAAATCCTCCACATATTGCCTTATGTTATTATTGATTAGTAATTTTATTATTCTATTCTATTATTACTCTCTGCAATTTGTGAGAAGAACCCTGCAAAAATTAAATCGATTGATTTATGATCAATCTATTAAAACAATTTCTATTGCAATTTACAATTGCTGTTTATTTCTATTAATGCTGATGTTACTGCCATCCTCATTATCATTATTACTCCTATCATGATCAAAATTTTATCTACCAACTTCACAGAAAAATAACTACTGACTATTGCCCTCGTTATTGTCATAATCATATTTAGCATTTCCAAATATTTCACTATTATTGTTATTAACTTCATTTCATGATCGGTATCATTATTGTTGTAATTATCACCACTGTTGTCATTGTCATTGTCATTGTCATTATCATTGTCATCATCATTTTGATTATTATTATTATTATTATTATTATTATTATTATTATTATTATTTTATTATTATTATTATATTATTAATATTATTACTTTTTGTCTTTATTATTATTACCATTACTATTACTACTACAACTACTACTACTACTACTACTACTACTACTACTACTACTACTACTACTACTACTACTACTACTACTATTACTACTACTACTACACTACCACCACACTACTACTACTACAATTATTACTACTATTACTATTGTTGTCACTAGCATTATCATTATATTATTGCTACAGTACAGCTACAAAAAGGTCGATAAATGAATATAAAATGAGCCACACACAAAACGGGGGCATTGTCAAATTGCTGTAAATGGAAATATTTAATTTCATGTATGCTTGTAAATGTCTTTCGTAATATTGCCTTAATTAACGTGGTATAAGTTGCTAGGTATGAAATACATATTAATTCTAAAGAATTTTATTATTTATGTTTGAAATGTGTAAGGGGGGATTCAGTTTTTCCAGTAGAGATAATAATAATTCTTAAAATTTGGATTTAAGTTTGTGTCAGACAATACAAAGTTGATCGCTTTTATAAATTATAAAAATAATTTTATTTCAATAATAAACGTGAGGCATACTAATTACATAGTATACCTTGGCTTATCTATAAGAAGAAATATTATTTTGGTAATTATATCCATAAGAACAGTATTTTATGAATAATTTCATTAACGTTTTAGAACATTACATTGAAGTAAAACCAAAAGACATGAGAGTTCATAATCATGAGAGTAAATAAAAAAAAAACAACATAAGCTTTACAATTATCAAATAAGAAATTTCAAAGCTTTGAGTAATTCGAATAAACAGAGAAAAAACCATAAGAATACAGTCTCATCTTATGTTCTCTTAACTTTGCTAAGGTATACTGCAAAACAATATAAAGTTATAGTAAGAAAATAATTATATAGAATCAATGGTGCAAAGTAACAATTACAAAAAAGCAAATAAAATTAATGTATTTGAAATTGATTTATCTTAATTTTACAAATAAAAGATGTTTCCGTTAGTATAGGACAGTTGGATATAATAAGCAAAATAATTTTCTTTATTTTATACGTGGAAAGGATAGCCGAGCTGAATACACTGGGGCCTTAATTAAAATTAAAAAATGAAAAAATATTTGTCTAATATAGTATTATGTTGCACATACTTATAGCAATCATATGAATTGAAGTACTTTGTAAATTTTTTACTTTGAAAGAGTATAAGCTATCAGAAACAAAACAAAAAATATATATATACAGGATTGTGTATAATCATTGTAAAATTAAGTTTATCAGAAAATTTTGACATTTTTCTTCTATTATAAATTATAGGTGCAATATATAAAGAAATTCCAATGAATGGGCACGTTAATTTTTGGAAAGATCATAAAATCAGGGAAAATGACATTTCTGTTTTAAAATGTAAATATTCGTTATAGTTGTGTAGATCAGCACCAGAAATATATCAAAAATGTGTGTAACATCCAAGTGAGATCACACTTTCTTGTTATTTTGAAAGGAATGAAACTTTACCTATTATATTATTATATTATGTGTATTGAAAACCTTTGTCAAACCTTATAAATTAGAAAAAAAAAATTTCTTGTTTTTAATACGTTTATAATTTTTAAAAATCATACCGACCTTATTGTGTATTTCTTTTTAAAGTTTCCATTCAACGATTCCTAAGATAAAAAATTTCATTTTTAATGAAATTAAAGCAAAAATAATTTTAATATTATATTAGTATTACAAATGGAAACATATTGTAAACCGATGTCAAATTTTGGACTGAATATTGATTAGAATATCTATTACTTTTTATTCATTAAATAGAAAATGAACATGTCATACAAGTTGTAGTTTTCTGTAACACTCAAATGAGAAACATAATACAAATAATTATATTTAAAAATATAAAACGATATAATTTGATTATATTCGTTGTTACATTTAATTTGAATAGATTATCATTTCTTAGTATCGAATTTTCGTTTGTGATGTATAAAAGTTGTTCTGTTCGTAAAAATATATATTCTTATATAATTTAGACTATGATTTTTAATCTCAAATTCATACTGCGAATATACTTGTACCAACAATTTTCTAATATTCTAATGGGGAAGAAAAAAAGAAAAAAAAAAAAAAAAGAAAAAAAGAAAGAAAGAAAAAAAAAAGAAAAAAAATATGAAAATGAAAATTATCAAAATCATACCAACTTCGAACTTTATTTTTATGTGAATTATTACAAGACTGACAGGTGCCCCTATACTATAAATTATAATATACAAATTACTATATCAGTTTTAAGGGAATAAAATGATTCATTTCACCGGCAGTAGCAAAACACTTCGCAATCGTTTTAAAATAAATAATGCATGTATATAAGTCCTAGAAAAAAAAAGAAGAAGAAAAGAAAAAACACAATAGTAACAACAACAACAACAACATTGCGAGTGCGCCTACATTATAATTTTGAAAGTATAAAAGCATAGGCAACTCGGTCTGGCCCATTAATTATTTAAGTTCGAAAATAATTTCTTTTACTAAAAAAGAATTTCAAAATCACTAGCGCTTTGGCGCCAAAACTTACTGTCTTATCGTTGGTGAATAGACGTACATATTATATAAAATTATTTTCAATTTGAAGTACTTGTATGTGCATATAATATTTCCTTAGAAAAAAAGAGAGAAAAAGAGAGATAGAGAGAGAGAACAAAAGAAATAAAGAAGGAGATGTTTAAGAAGAGATTAAGAACGTTTATGGATGTAACAGATTTTTGGTACACGCTTTGGTACGACTAAAGCAGGATACATATATACATCCTTTAAACATGAATCCCGTGCCTTCTGTGCCTCTGCATTATATCACAATTTCACATTACATTGAAAAAAAGAATGATGTGAAAAGTGAAACAAATAAGACATAAAGATACGATAATGGATGATGGAATAAGAAATATAAAAGAAGTATCGAAATTTATTTAATCAACGATCGTTCCAATGATCGTCGTTCAATGAAGCACGGAATGACAATCGGTTAAAAGAAAAAAAAAAAAAAGAAAAAAAAAAGGAAATGACAGATCGTGCTATCGAAGACGTTCAATAAAAAAAGAAATTACAAGACACCTCCTCCCTTCCCTCATTAAAATTATTTATAATTCAAACGCATTCTTTTGCGTTTATTATAGTTATGTGAATGGAAAGAAGAAAAAAAAAAGAAAGAAAAAAACACACACAAAAAAGAAAGAAATAAATAAGCAAAGTGTTTCAATAATATTTTATTTTTTAAGTGCGCCTTTCAATTACTTTATTAATCGGCTATCGTAATTATGAATACGAATACGAGTTTGTGTATTGTAAAAAATTTGTGAATTTAGTTATCTATATGCGTTTAACATAATATTTTCTAATGTTCTCACTGCGATGTCATTGTGCTTGTTATATAAATGCTTGTTACATAATTGTTCACAGAAAACATTATACGGCCATTAAGATGAGAATATGATATTACTTATGCGGTTTAACAATGTATTTACATGTGCACTGATACAAACTACTCTTTTTATTTTGTTTCGAAAGTACAGCTAAATATCGATACATGTTAACCAGCATATGTGATATATGTCTCTATGTGCATATTTATAGTAAGTATGTGTATAATATAGTTAAGTACATGTGAAATATTTTCTTTCCTCTCTTGGAATCAATCGAAGATAATATATTGTTTTTTCCTTGCGTTTTTAGAAAACCACGAATTTTGCTTTTGACAAAAAAGCAGCTCTGCGATGTACAAAAATGCCAATATCAATATAACATATATACATAATGCAACACAAAACTATATTACTAATAATAAATATTCAAATATGTTTGCTTTCCCGTAATATTGATCCATTTTTAACTTTCGATAGTTTTTTTTTATTTTTTTATTTTTAAAGTATATAATTTCGAAAAGAAAGAACGCACATATAGCTATATATATATATATATATATATATATATATATATATATATATATATATAAAAAAAAGAAGAACTGTTAACTGTAACATTGTGCATACAATTAATTAATTTCCTTTCGATAATGCGGAAGATTTTTTATACGTTTATATCGACTCTCGTAATTCAATCTTTTCAAATTAAATATCGCGCCAATTTACTATGTACATCACATTACGTACTTATTATTTTACAAATTTCATTTATTTGACAGAAAAATCGATATTCAGTATTTACTCATAAAATATGTATTAGAACAATTTTTATATTAGACATTGCGAACTATAAAATTATTGTAAAATACGATTTATTTATTTATAAATTAACCAACAAAATATCGTCGAATGTAAGTAAATATATATCTTCTTAAAATTCAGTTTATGACTTATAATAATGATTAATAATACGTTGATATTGAAACACTTCAATGACTACGTAGAAATTTATCAACGACGTTTCGTAGATTTTAACGTTGCTAAAGGAGCCATTTGATTGGTCGGTCGGTTAGCGAACAAACTGTTTTCTGATTCGTCAGACGCTTCACACACATTTATAATTGGATAATACAAAATCGATTGTTTTTTCTATTAAGAGAATTATAACGTTAACTAAAAAGATATAATCAGTATTATTACGATTTTTTTTTATTGTAAGATAAGCTATATAATATCGTTTCAAAAATAGAAAAAAAAAAGAAAACAAAAATGGCGACATATTTATGACTTTTGTTTCGTTAAAATTTTTTTAAGATTATTTATCGATGATGATTTAAAGGATATACGATATGATAGTGCTGTATATCTTATCGATGGGAAAAATATTTTTTATTATCGAAAATTATTACGAAATACAAAGATTATTTGATTTTAATGGTAACGTAATCGCGACTGCGCAATCAACCAAAATAGCATAATCCTCTGTGCGTAGGACGTTATACTCCTACTGCCCTTTGTATTAACCTCACAACACACACACGTATATATATACATATTCTCATCCAGAAAAAGTGGTTGAGCTCCAGAGGCGGCCTTAACGAGGTTGCTTTAAAGAATCTTAGCTAAGGAGATTCGCAGTAAACGTTGTGCTTGGTTTTCAGTCAAACGACGCCTTTGGTGTGCCTTCTAACGAAAAAAATACTCTTTTTACGCGTTTTGTTTTTATCTCTTTCTCTTTCTCTCTCTCTCTCTCTCTCTCTCTCTCTCCGTTCAATTTTATACTCATCCCCTCTCAGTCATTCTTTGTCAATTTTCTCTCTCTCTCTCTCTCTTTCTCTCTCTCTCTCTCTCTCTCTCTCTTTTGTGGTCTCACACTTCCTCGTATCTAAGCTCGTACCACTGACATTTCATTGTCATACATGTGACAAATTAAACTGCCGTTAAAAATAAATAAAAGAATGTCGAAACCTGGTGACAGACAAAGTTACGCACAGACCTACAAACTCGTTGTTGTGGGTGGTGGTGGTGTTGGAAAATCAGCAATTACAATACAATTCATTCAAGTAAGTACTTTTTATGGTCACTAGCTACGTTACTACAGATCGAGCGTATGAGTGTACGTAGTTGAGTACCAATCAGCTTCGTTCTCCAGGCTACACCATTCATAGATCGTCCAAAATGAAAAGAATTAATGATAACTCGTAAAGAGTGATCTCATGTTAAGTTATTTAGATTTTATTTTTTATTTTATAAAGATGATACTTATTTAGAATTTGATGACGTCAAATTTCGTCATATGTTGTTTTGATAGACGATATCAAATGATACGAACATTCTTTCATTAACGATTATGTCATACGAACGCATGCTATTGTCATATATGGTCATACAAACTTTATCTCAGTAATTGATAAGATTATCAAAATTACAAACTATATTGCTTTCCTCTATATTGCTTGTTTAATCAATTTAACTATTTTCAATAATTATTATACTTTTTTTTATATTTCTTATACTTTTCTATTAAGGATTCATTTCTTATAGAGTTATTTTGTGACTGATTATGATCCAACAATTGAAGATTCATATACAAAACAATGTGTCATCGATGATGTTCCAGCAAAACTTGATAGTATGTATAAATCAATATCTAATTTATGATTTATATTAATGATTCTCTTTTATAGTTAATTTTATATGCTTTAATTTTTAGTATTGGATACTGCGGGACAAGAAGAATTTAGTGCAATGCGTGAACAGTACATGAGAAGTGGGGAAGGTTTCCTACTTGTATTTTCAGTTACAGACCACTCATCATTTGATGAAATTTTAAAATTTCATAGACAAATTCTCAGAGTAAAGGATCGCGATGAGTTTCCTATGCTTATGGTTGGAAATAAAGCTGACTTAGATCACCAAAGAATTGTAAGATATACCACGTAAACTCATAAAAGAATGAGCACGAATGCTGATACATAGAAAATCAATTTCTGTAATACATATCTTTTCATTACAGATATCCGTCGAAGAAGCACAAAATATGGCACGTCAATTAAAAATTCCATACATCGAATGTAGCGCTAAGTTAAGGATGAATGTGGATCAAGCTTTCCACGAATTAGTTAGAATTGTTCGAAAATTTCAATTATCTGAAAGACCACCGCTTAAACCAAACTATAAGAAAAATAAGAAGAAATGTTGCATGCTATAAATTTGTTTGGAAGCATTTAAACATTCTTCCGATGCCAAATACCATTGGTGAAACTTTATGGAAAATTATGAAACATCGATTAGTAACAAGGAATATTGTGATTATTATGATATTACAATTATATCACATGGGGAAAGAAAAAAAGAAAAGTATAAGAATACATTTTAATGTATATGAAAATCTCATTAGTTATAACAAAATTGTTGGAATCATTGATAGATAAAGTTGAATTTAAATTATTTTATTTTAAATTGTTTATATTACGCGAGACTTCTTATAAGAAATAATCAAAAATTCGAATGTGGTTTTTTTGACCATATATCTTTTTCAACTATTAAAACATTGATAAGTCTGTTTTTCAAAAATAATTGTTTATAACAAAAGTAATTAAAAGTAACAGAATAACACAGATACTATTTTATAAACAGATTTATATAAAATAATATAATTGCTTGATAAAATTTACTCATAATTTATATATCAGAATTTATATCGTATGTGTGTATATTAACCGATTTTATGACAAATTTTCCATATCGATTCGAATGGAGAATAGTCTTAGAAAATCCAAGGATGCAAAAGCATTGTGTACGATAAAAACAATTTATATACATTTCATTTGTACCTCTTCTCACAGAAATAGTACAATAATCTAATGTTTAAGTAGTATTTTTTAACCAAGTATTCTCTTGTAGATCAAGAGTAATTATTATAAAATTAGATTAAAATTAATCTCATCGTATAAATGCACAAGATTTATTATTAAATTTTTCACAATCTATGTTTGCGTAGGATTTTCTTGGTTTGTTATTTACTAATGAATTAACTTAGCAATAATAATAAACAACGTTACAATTTAAGTTTCAGTGCAAATACAAGAAAAACTGCAATTTGTCATATAGTTTAAGGATATTTTCAATATAAAAAAAAAATATTAATTAGGTACATAAATTAGTTGAATATATTCAGAGTTAAATAAGTTCGTTGATTTAAATTTTATCTGAAATCTCTAAAAGAAATTAAATATTTGAGAGATATTTCATTTATATTTTCAGTTTAAATAATATAAAAAAGAAAAAAGTTAACAATATGTGCCTATAATAATATGCGATATTTGATGTGCATGTATTATTATTATTAATATATCTCGATGTTTATGAAGAATTATTTATTTATTGATCTATACTCGTTTTGTCATTAGGATAAGAAAATAATGAATAATACAGAAGTGAAAACATTAACATAATATGGGGCCAATAACAAATGTAACGCACAATTCATTCTTCTAACTACCAGTTCTCCCAATCTATGTAACGAAATAGATACTAACAATCAATGTATTACACATGGTATTTTTTATAACAATATAATGTATTTGATATAATCTTACAAATATTTAAACAACAGTAAGAAACCTGTAATTTGTCACGTTTTGTCAAAAGTATATTTTGTACTTAACTTAAATCATCGCCTACCAATACCACGTCAAATGTGCTCTATAATACATTATAAACATTATTGTCACACTTTTATGTGTCGTATAATCTATGCAATTTAAGACGAAACCATAGATTATATCCTTTTATCCCGTCATTTATTTTAAACGTTCTCCGTAAACTTGCATTTGTAATAAAGAATTCTTTTTTTTTGTAATAATCAACGATTATGACAACATTGTTCGTTATAAATATATTTCGTTAAAATATATATATATATATAATTGATATAATATATATAATTGATATAATATATATAATTAATTAAATATATATAATTGAAATGGATACCAGTAAGATAATTCCAATTGAAAAATTGAATTGATAAAACATCTTATTTATGTTTCTCCTTTCGATCTCGTACCAGCAGATTAGTGAGTTTCTTATTCTCTGTTTTTCAACGCATATTGAATATGTTAATTTTATAGCGATGATTAAAAACAAAAAAAAAAAACAACTATTAAAAATCCAATCCGTCTTTTGTAGACGTCGATTATATTTCGTTTAAAATGAATGTGAATTTTTAAAAATGTCAAAATCTCTTCTTTTTTGAAAGAAAAACAAAAGAGAGAAAAATCGTCATTATAGCATTTTTAAAAACGTCTTTTTTAATAATAACGTATAAACGATAATAATTGTAAGTATTATTTTCTTTATCGTCACGTTTAATGCTTATTATTTCTTTTTTTTTCGTTGTGAAGGACATAAACACGGTGATTGATTAGTTGCAAACGTGTTTGTTTTTTTTTCTTTTTCTTTCCTTGCCAGCTACAACTCTCGAATACTTAAGAGAGAGAAAGAGAAAATTATTTTATTTTATTTTTACCATGTACAAAATTACTGATTGAAAATGTTATTGAAAAATTTCCTCGTGTTAAAATTACGACAGATTAATATCTTTAGCGTGACATAACATTTAAAGTTGTCTTGCGCGAGATCCATTATCAGTCCAGTCTTGAATCGAGTAACGATTATTCCACCCGGTACGACGGAACATTCACCCTAATTTAGCTGGCGAACGATCGAAGAAGAGCAGCAAGGTGGTCAGACGGGATTCCCATCGTAGCTATTCTTGACCAGACCAGGCTAATATTGAATCCACTCAATTACTTCCAGCTACGTTAGTATATTGAGCACATCGCTATAAGTATAAATATCATCATCGATTTCTCTCTTCCTCTTTTTCTTACTTTTTCTTACATTATCTCGAAAGTAGTCGTAGAGAGGCTGTAGAGAGGCCGATGATCATTTTTATCTCCCCTCTCTCACTACTTCCCTCCCCATCTATCTCTCTTTCTATAAGAGCGCGCGTATGCATATACATGCATACGTACATATGCATATATACATACGTATATATTTTTCTCTATCACACTTGCCTAGAATTTTCAGTAAGGACCAAGATTCTATCGTTCGCTCGATTACATCTCCCGCCCCCCGGATATATTATCGTTACGCGATGCGGCCTTCGCCAAGGCCCAAGCTACTAATCCTTTGTTTGCAAAGATATTCTGAGCCAAGAAAACCAGTTCTTCTTTTACTACTGCACTTCAACCATGAAGGCAGCAGTGCAGTGTGCGTGTACACATACGTTGTTACTCTTTTTACCAAGAAGACGCACCGTTGTATGTTGTAAATTGCAAGCGAAAACCGGGAAACGATAAAATCCTCGTAATCACGATTATTACGAGGACTTGGGTAGGCCGTGGATGAGGGTGGAAAGGAAGGAAGGAAGGAAGGAAGGAAGAAAGGAAAAAAGAAAAGGAGTAAGAGGTGAGAAAAATGCAAAAGAGAAAAAAAGATTAGGTAGGAAGGAGGAGAGGAGAAAAAAAAAGAAAGAGGACGGTAGGCGCCGTGTCTCGAAGATGTTAAAAGGGTGGAAGACTTGCTTGCAACGATGTTGCTGCGAGTGCAGATTTATGAACGAGAATATATCCGATTATTTGAACCTGAGAGAATTAGAAAAAGGATAAAAATTATTAGCATGGACCGATTTCACAGCATTTATTTTCCATGATAGCGAAGTTACAAAAATACGTGAGTGAGAAAAGTCGATAAAACTTTTCATTAAAAAGAATTTAGAGAGGAGAGAGAGAGAGAGAGAGAGAGAGAGAGAGAGAGAGAGAGAGAGAGAGAGAGAAAAGAATTAAATAAGCCATGTTTATTTATCATTATTCTTCACGTTCATTATTTTATTTACACGCGTGCGTAAGTACGTTTATTGTTTAGATGCAATACGCACCGCAACGATCAAGGTCATGTTGCTTTTTATTCGCCCGGAGAAGGAGAGGAACACGAAGAAGACGAAAAGGACGAAGGAGAGAAAGAAGATACGGGGTTAAAAATAGCCTCTCTCGGTGCAAAATAAAAACTAACTGAGATGACCACCGAGCGATGGACGTATAAGAAGAAAAAGAAAAGGAGAAGGAAGAAGGAAAAGAAGAAGAAGAAGAAGACGAAGAGAAGAACGAAGGAGGTGCATGAGTCGGGATAAAAAGAAGAGAATATCAAAAACAAGGACCGTAAGGGGTCCGAGATGGAGGATGGTAAAGAAAAAGAAGTAGAGTGAGAAAGAAAGGGGAGAGAAAATAAGTTCCTCTTGCTATTTTAACTCACTAGGATAATATATCCCTCCTCCCTTCCTATAAATATGGTTATTTTTTTGTTGAACTCGCCATAATAAAAAAGAAGAAAAAAAAAGAAAAAAAGAAAAGAGCATATGCGAGTTTAATGGTTGTGTATATAAAAGTATACCCGAAGGAATCATTTCTCAGCACCCTTCGTTTCTTCTTACTCGTGCTTGTTTCATCAACGATCGCACGAAACGCAAGTAGCCAGTCCTCTTCATCCTCATCGCGTCTATCTACGTTCTCCTCTTCGCGGGATTCCAGAAGCTCTTTAGAATAGATCGTAGGCGCCAGTCGATGAGGACGTTCGTGCACGCGAACACCACGACGAAGAGCACCAACGACGGAGATGGCGATGGTGTTTCTCCGTAAATGAAGAAGAAGAGGAGTATTTTCCTTCTCTCTTCTTCTTCTTCCTCTTCTTCTTCTTCTTTCCTTCCTTCTATTCTTTTCCTTCTCCTCTTGTTCTTTTTTTTTCCCCCTTTCTTCGTCTCTGGAGTCAACGTAATGCCTGGACGGCTATGCGACGCTGCTGTTGGCCGAGGTAACGCGGCCGAGGGCAACCTTCGGCCGTTCTCAGACAGGGCCGAGGATTGAAGGAAAAAGAAGAGGGAGCCGCCGGGAGAGTTGGAACGGGTTCTCTCCTCCGGGCCGGGTGCGCAGTCCAGTCGAAGACTCACGATGATAGTGAACGCCCGATGAAGAATCTTCCCCCCGTCCAACAGAACGAAGAGACAGTCCGCGACTGCCCCGTCGAACTCGAGCGCCCCAGGTCAGTGCACGTTCCTCTCTCTTTCTTTCTTTCTCTCTTTCTCTTTCTCTCTCTCTCTCTCTTTCTCTCTCTCTCTCTCTCTCTCTTTCTCTTTATCTTTCTCTTATATAAATGATTTTTTTTTGACCCAATCCATCGATCGTGGGACCATCCATTTTCCTCATTTTCTATTTCCTCAAGTATTTTCTTTCTTTCTTTTTTCTTTTTTTTTCCCTTTTAGCTTCTTTTTCTTTCTTTATTATCAGTTTAATTTCATTATTTCATTATATGTGATCTCCAACGATTTATTTATTTTTCATACACATTCATTCACTAATCATTTGATAGATCTTTTCTTCGAGCAGAAAAACGTTCTAGCGAAAGAGACCAATTGGCGGGAGCTGCTACCAATCTTCCGGCTTTTCAATCCGCGAAAGTGATCTCCCAAGCTCATTTCGTAACTATGTAATATACTATGATGTACTCCACTAAAAGCTGCTTGCGTGCAACATTGTTGACTCTTGATCATCCTAGATGAGATTAATACGTCAACGTAGTATATCTTTAAGTTTTTCTTACGGATCGACACTCATTTCTTCTTCTTTTTAACATATTAGTTATTCGTAGTATAGCGTTGGCGACGTGTTTACCGTGTAATTATAGACGTCCGCGGCTACGGTGCCGCCCGGCACGAAGTCCTGTCAAGGGAAAACTTTCATTTTCTACCGAACGATCGGCAAGAGTCATTTGCAAATTAACGTTGTATTTGTTTCATTTATGCATGCTTGAGAGACCGCTTACTACATACATAACATGTTTGCATTGCATACGTGTGTGTATAAACGAAGAATATAAGATCTATATCGTATAGAATGCAATAAAGAGCTCGATTCGTTTGTAGTATCTTTATGTATGATTCGCATCGCAATTAATTCATCGTCGGTTCGTAATTGTATGTTGTAATTGCACGATCGATTAAAATGGAACGATCATATGTAGTCCCTTCATTTCCGTTCATTTTATTGTTTCACTCATCTTTCCCATAATTTCTGCTGTTTTTTTTTTTCAAAATTTAACATATTAAGTCCATCGATTTTAATAAATTTCATCGATGAAAAACGATCGACGATTCATATCGATAAGTATCCCTTTTTCTTTAGCCGATATAATCGATCGATTGACGGATGTAAATTTATTTTCTTTCAAAACAGATTTTATCACGAAACATTTGTTAAAGTTTCATAATTTTTTTTTTGCACGGAATTTCATTCGTAGAGTCATCATCTTTCGAGTCAAGTCGAGAAGTGCAAAGGCCGTCCTCGAGGCATAATTTAATAACGGACGAACGATAGAAGTGCTTTCGCCGTAACTGTAAACGAAGTTCGCAAGCGAAATAACCGTGTATGCATGTAGGTATATTTATAGACGCAAATATACGTGCGGTCAACTTTGAAATTATTTTCAAACCTGATAATCATAATCGGGCACATGTGTCCTCGAAATAAACAGGAAAAACGTTTAGCAGTCCCGTTGCTTTCGCACGAGAGACACGGCCCATTAAAAATGGATTAAATCAGTGGCTTTTTGTTTTATTTATTCATGTTCTTCACGTCCATGCAAATTATCATTATCGAAGATTTTAATATGCCACTATTTATACTGACGCATCGTGTTTAATATATGATACGTAAATTTGTTTTTTACATGTCGAATGGAGACCTCTCTAATAATAAAAAATGATTGTATTTTTAATATCCAACTGGTTACGAAAAATGAGTTTAGACAAAGTTTTATAGAGATCGACATTGATTCAGTTCCCGTTATAATACATATTACTTCGTTATAATTAAAATTACATTTGCACTTGTAATTCCCAGTCAATACTGACAATTACGGATTCTTATAAGTCGAGTACCGGTTACCCCCATAGTAGTTAAAGCGTTAACGGATTTATCCTTACGCGGCAAAGATTTCTTTTCACTTCGACGAAGGAAAGAAAGAAATAGCAGGCGAACGCGAGTCCCCTCAGGTTCATTGACCCAAGAGTTAAAGATTTTCCAAATGAAAAAGTTGGTCTGTTCGCTTAAAAAAAAAAGAAGAAAAAGAAAGAAAGAAAAAAAAAGATTGAAAAACTTTCTTTTCTAAAAAAAACGAGGCTCCGTTTAAACGATATAAACCCCCAATGAAGATCGCGATCGGTGTACATGAGCAGCAGTATATATTCTAAAGAAAATCCTCCGGGGAGAACCAGTTTCATTCTCTCGCGAATAGGAATGGTACTTAAAGGGCTCGCGACAAGTTTAAGGTTTTACCTTATGGCAGACGATAAGAAAAATATACGCGGTTTATAAATATAAATCCGAGAAAATGCACAGTAATTAGCGGGAACATGTTTTTACAAAGAGTCACCATAAATGGTGTCAACGACGTGATATTTAAGTTCCTGGCGCGTCCTTAGAAGGTCCCTATATCCCGCTCAGGTTCTTCTTTTATCCCGTATCCCGTGCGATTACAGGCATTTCTTTTTTTTTTCTTTTTTTTTTTTGTATGAAATTTCTTTTCTTCTCTAAACTTATACTATTTTCTCTTAATAATAACAATCTTTACATTTATGAATCTAATTACTATCAGTCACCTTGTATATATATATATATATATATATATATACATTCACTTGCGCATACGTGATGAAATCATCAAAACAAGTCAATTGACGAGCGGAAAATATGCTGGAAGATTTGCAATATTGTCGGAGAATATTTTTCTTCTTATAGATCTTAAGAGTAGATACGGACCGTTAGAGGCTAAACGTGTCTGCACACAATTTGGTATATTCTACTTGGTTGCTTACTCTCTCGGAGCATTTTTGTTGACTACTCCTCTCTTTGAGATAGGGAAGCCAATAGAGTGAATGTATATGACTGAATGAGAGAGAAAGATAGAGAATAACGCATATAAGAAACGTAGAGCCATTAAAACCGGTGTAGTATATATTACGTTTCTCCCTTTCTGTTCAGTTTACACGAGATGTTAGCGTACTTAAGCATATTCCCACTTGACCGATCGGGGTCCGTGCGTCAATTGCTCTCAGATAATTAAAAGCTCGTGTTCAACGAATTTGCTCATGCACGACTTTAAAATAGCTCATTCGTGCGATTTCGTCGTTCGAACAAAATACGTTGACGATTATGATTATATTTGGTTTGCTTCTTCCGTTCCTTCTCCTTCTCCCTCTTCCTCCCTCTTCCACGTTCCTCATCCTTCTCTTCCTCATTCTTCGATTCACGTCGACCTTACTTGTTAGATCTTCCGTGACCATGTAAGTCATTACATAAATCGAACATTACCAAATCGGCGTTCTTGAAGGAATCGAATCAGATCTACGTATTTGCAGATAGTAGAAAATTACAGAAGATTATAGAAAACGAACGTCATTTTTATTTTAATGGAGATGATCCCTGACATTTTTTTTTGTATCTCTTTTTTTATTTACTTTTTTTTTTTATTATTTTTTGTTTTATCTTTACGATAATACATATTCATTTTTATGAAAGAAGGAAAAAGAAGAAAAAACGAAAAAATATAAAATGGCTCAGTCTTTCTTTCTTTATTTCTTTTCCTCTCTCTCTTTCTCTCTTTCTCTCTTTGCAGAGTATCTTGCATCGAGTTAGCTCCGTTGAGCTAAACAGCTCGATCGAAAGTTTCGTAAGGCTACTAGCGCCTTTTTTCATCGATTTACTCTCACTCTAACCAGAACGCGTATTCCTCTCTCTTTCTTTCTTTCTTTCTTTTTTTCTCGAGCATTCTCCGATCAAGAGAGATCTACTATATCGAGGAGAGATCGAATCGTAGAAAGCAAACGGTTGTAGTATACTTCCCAAACCTTCTTAGTTTATATTTTTTTCATTAAGGGAGAAAGAGAAAGGGAGAGGGAGAGAGAGAGAGAGAAAAAGAAAGAGAGAAAGAGAGAAAAAGAAAGAGAAAGAACTCTCGTTTAGTGACATTATCAGGACATAAGAGAATGGATCACTCTTACCAATTTATATTTTATTTTTCCTAAATATATTAAATAGTAATAGCTCGAATCGTAAGGATACAATTTCGTTGAGAAATATGAGATACGCGTTGCATAACGTTTACGTATCCTTCTTCTTTCAATTTTTCCTTCTTTATTTTTTTATTTTATCGTCTCAACGTTGTATTTGATTTAATTTCAATCGTTAATAACGTTCGGAATGTTCAGGGGAAGAAAAAAAAAAAAAAAAGAAAAAGAAAAAAAGAAGAAGAATAAAATTCCAACTCATGAAAATTCGAATGAGACACATAAATATGTCATAAAATCATTATTCTACAATAATATTGTATATTCGAAACTATAGTTACAGATAACAAATGTGTGAGAAAAAAAGAAAGAAAAAAAAAGAAGAGAAGAAGAAGAAAAATGCAGGAATACGAAGAAAAGTTAATTAATTCACGAGAGTGCATTTTCTGTCTCTCACTATTCCACGTCGTGAATCTACTTTCTTCACGAGCCCTATTCCTCTCCGTGAATCCTTTTCGTATTTGATTCACGCTTCTCGCTTTATATATCGCGAGTCAATATTTTACGGATCACGTGTTTCTCTACGCGTTCATTCCCGTTTAACTTCCTAGCACGTAAATACACAAATAGCGATTTTCTTCTTTCCTCTTTCCTTTGGTAATCGTCGATTATGGTAAACGGAGCACGTTTACGTTACGGTTTCAATGAACGGCGTCTTCTAATGAAAATTACATTTATTCTACACGGACAAACGCGCAAGCCTGATTTCGCATGCGAGAAAAAAAGGATGATCTTCTCGACTAACATCGGAAAACACGTAATCGTTTGAAGCCCTTTATCGAACGATCTTATTATTATTATTATTATTATTATTATTATTATTATTATATTTTTTTATTTCTTTTTTTTTATTATTATTCTTTTTTTAATTTCATCTGTTTTTATCTGAACGATTTGTTTTCTCTGAAAGGGATTGCGCCAAGTTTCAAGGAGCAATTATTTCTTTTAAATAATAAAATTCTTATTTACATTTTTATTTCTCTTGTTCATCTGTATTTCATTTGGAAAATCTTGTCGTGACGATATACAAGTGATATCCTGATCTACTCGAGTGATCTAATTAGCAGGGACGAATGACGTAATGTCGTTCGATCTTATGATTACTAAGATATAACTCGAAGATATCTACTTTTTCAATCGATTTTAATTTTAGGTAGAAACGTTGAAATATATAATTGTTAATATCTAAGAAGAATTTTAATATATTTTTATTTTATTTTTTTATTTTTATGAGAAAAATCATATAAAGGAAATAATGATAGACTTTTATGTTATATACACTATTCTCGATCATTCGATTTTCCGTTGATCGAGGACGTCGTTAGGTAATCCGTCACGTTAATATCGATAATAATCTTTCTTTTTCTCTCTCTCTCTCCCCCTCTCTCTCTCTCTCTCTCTCTCTCTCTCTCTCTCTCTCTCTATGTACATATATATCCTTTCATACATAAATACACCCATAAATTTCTATTATTCTTAGCTGGATTCTGTATGCATAGCATTGATTATTCTAATACGTACGTAACGTTTAATCTCTGATTTTCCCTCCCTTTTTCTGTTATTTTTCTACACCCTCTAGTTGGGCGATTTCATTAACAAAACACAGAGTTAGAATCGATCCGATCGATTTCCCGTTATTACGACAACAACAGCAGCAGCAGCAGCAGTAGCAACGACAATGACAACGACTAAGACAACGAGGAATGTTAGCGGCAAAACGAAGATGATACCACCGGACGGGGGGTGGGGTTGGGTCGTATTGACCTCAGCCCTTATTGTCAACTTCCTTATCCCTGGAACCGTCAAATCCTTCGGCGTTCTCTTCGTCGAATTTCTTCACGTTTTCAAGGCATCGCCAACAGCAGCCTCTTGGATGCCGGCTCTCTGTTATTTTCTCTACAACTCTTTGGGTAAGGAGATCGGCTTCTTACTATATTATCGTTATGCTAAACATATCCGTGCAACTCTGAGCGATCCATTTACATGAATTAAAATTCTCTTAGTTTATCTAACATGCCATTCGAATAGAACTTATACAAATGTGTGTTTATTTATCGTGTACCATCTTTGTAATAGGTCCCTTGTCGAGTGTTCTCTCTACCAAGTATTCTTATAAAACCGTGACATTAATTGGCGGCACCTTTGCCGCTACTGGAATGATGCTCAGCTATTTTGCTAATTCTGTTTCTTATCTCTACGTTAGGTAAGTAATGGAAAAGAAACAATTTTAATATTACCTATAGATGTATATGTGTGCATGTATGAATAATAATCGGTAAAATTTCTTTATATTTCTTTTTTTCTTCTTCATCTAGTTATGGTCTGATGGTCGGAATCGGTGCTGGTTTATCCTTTCCACCAACGATTTATATCGTCACAGCGTATTTCCAGAGGCTACGTGGTTTTGCCAACGGTCTCTGCATTTCCGGGAGCGCGATTGGGACTATAGTGTTACCACCGCTTCTTCAATATCTTCTTGACTGTTTTGGATATAGGTAACTTGTGAAAGGAGAGGGGAAGAGGATGGCGTTAGAAAGTCGAACGATGCACTTTGAACATCAGAAATAGCACCGATGTAATTGCCCAGTTGCTCGTTTACCATTCACATAAATACGAATATAATTGCCAGTTAGTCATTTAACATTTGTTATTTCTTAGACATCCTAATGGTATAAGTGATGTCATTAAATGTGCGAAAGAGCACATTTGCCGCGTAGATTCGGGGCAAACATTGTGTAAAAGAAATACACTTTTATTTTATTTTTCTTCGTTCTTTCTTTTTTTCTTTTTTTTTTTTTTTTTTTTTTTTTTTTTTTTTTTTTAATCTCAAAAAAAGAAACGTAACATTAACAATCTTTCTTTCGTTATTCCAGAGGTGCGGTACTTATTATGGGTGCTTTAACATTGAACACGCTAGTTTGTGCGTTGCTCTATCATCCGGTCGAACAACATATGATAGCCGTTCCCATAGAGGAAGGAATCGATAACGAAGCTTTAAGCTTGGACGAACCGATCGACGAAAAACGTCAATCGATCGATCCGGCGAAATTGAATTCGATTGTTCAGGACGAGAAGAATGAAAAAATCGAAAGTACGACGAAGCAAGTACAAAATTTAACGGAATTATTGAATTATTCGAAGCTGACTACGTCCAAAGAAGAAGGATTTGAAAAATTGACAAAGCCGAATGAAGAAGAGGAGCAAGATCAATGGATCGTCAAGGATCAAGTTATAGAGGATATTGCTAGCGTAGATGATAAGGAAAAAGAGGAGGATCTTCATGATAAATATGACGAAGAAAACGTTAAAGAGACTTCGAGTACAAGCAATAGAAAGCTAGTTGATAAAAAACATTTCGTCACTAATGAACCGTTCAATTCCCGTCAGATTAGCACAATGTCAGATAACGGATCAAACGTATTAGGAATATCAATAAAAATGCATCTCCAAGAGGACAACGAATCCGTGAAATTGGACAAGCCCGTGCAAGTAGAAATCTCTACGCCAAAGCCATCGAAGTCCGAGACTTCATCGACTAAGAGTGAAAGCACGAAGAAAGTATATCTATCTTTTGATTTCAGCATGCTGAAGGATCCGATTTATCTGGTCATTTTGATATCAAACTCGACGTCAGCGATCAGCAATACAAACTTTATGATTCATTTGCCGTCCTACGCAAACTCGCAAGGCTTCGATCAAAATTCATCGGCTCTTTTGTTATCCACTGTTTCAGCTCTTGATCTTATCGGTAGAATAAGTGGTGCTTCTTTATCCGATATAGATTTCGTACCGAAATATTATTATTTCGTCGGTGGCCTTGGAACTAGTGGGATAGCTCTGGCGCTACTACCGATGGCCAATAGTTATGGGATGCTTTCCTTTTTTTGTGCATTATTTGGCCTCTCTTCCGGCATGTACATCGGCATCACGACCGTTATCCTGGCTGACATGCTTGGTACTGATAAACTCAGTTCCTCTTATGGAATCTCGCTCTTTGTTAACGGTGTCCTCCAACTTGTCGGACCGCCGGTTTGCGGTGTCATCTATGAACATGTTGGATCTTATAAACCCATTTTCTTGGCATTCGGTATAATACTTATACTGGGTACCGCTCTCTGGGCCATTGTGCCTCTAATCAAAAGGAACAGTAAAAAAAAAATCGAAGAGGTATAACGGTATAGAAGTGTAATTACAAACTAACCCTCACGAATGAGAAGTATCTTTACTCGTTCGTGTAATTTTTGTGATGACGTCATTCCAAGGAAAGTATACAAAATATTCGTAGATATAAATGCAGGGACTACATAAGCGTATTATTACAATACTTATAGATAATTCATGAGTATCTGAAGTATTTCACTCTCGATTGTAAGAGAAGTGAAAATACTTGTGATCAGTATTTAGCGATTAGGATCACATCACGAATCGTTTTTCGTTAATAATACGATCGATTTTTTTTTTTTAACAATCGTTAGAGTCATTGATCATTAAGTGGTAGATTGCCTTCTAAAGTGACAAAAACACTTTTGTAAGACCAATGTTAGTGTATATGTTTTTCCAAATACAAGATTTTATCAGGCGGATCGTCGATGTACTATCGTTTATCGTTCATAATATTATTATGAGATTTTATCATTGAAAATGCGTCGCGTCGATCTCTTGTTCTATACTCTGGCATTAGTAGTATCTATATTCGTAGTATCTTTACTCTAATTGATTAGTCATGTTGTTTTCTTGTATTTTCTTTTTTTTTTTTTTTTTTTTTTTTTTTTTTTTTTTTTTTTTTTAACAGACACCACTCAAACGTTTCATTAGAAATGAATTTCTTAGCTATAACATAGGTGGCATGAATTTTCATAGCTCATAAAGAATAAATTTCGATCATTGAAACGAGATCGAGAATTTTAATTAAATCAAGCCGATAAGACGTTACTTAAATGAATATTTGATAAAAGGCCGTTAGAAGAAAGAAAAAAAAAGAAGGGTGTTAAATCTCCAGATTTTTAACGAACCTAGTTCGCGTTAGACGATTTTTGCATTAGCGATTCACACCGATGCTCCGGGTTCTCTGGGTATTCGTATATATCTAGTCACGCCTGTGCGAATGTACAAAATGCACGCGCGAGCCACTAAAAATATTTTTCTTATTATTACGAAATGGAGAAAATAAGAAGAAGAAGAAGAAAAAAGAATTATCGTGATGCGTGAAAACATGTGGGAGAAGCGTTTGTTTAAAGAAGACGTAACGTTCGTAGGCTCGACTCTATGAGTGCTGAAGTTACAAGGGGCGTGTTGTCATAAATAGTTCTTCGCACTTGGATTGCTCGCTTATCCGATAAAAGAGCATCCAAGAAGACATTGTATGTTTATAATAGCGGTGTATGACGAAAGACGAGAGAAAGAGAGAGAAAGAGAGAGAGAGAGAGAGAGAGATTCTGCGTTCGAATAATCTAGTAATTCATTAATTATTCCTTTCTTCACGAAGCGCTTATCTATCTTGCTTTAATTATTATTAGACACGCGGTTGCCATCTCAATTATTAGAAATAGAATAATTTTTCTTTTGTAAGAAAAGAAAGGAAGTGTGTCGAGCTTTAAGAGAAAGAAAGAAAAAGGGAGAAAGTAAGAGAGAAAGTAAGATAGAAAAGGAGAGAGAGAGGGAGAGAGAGAGAGAGAGAGAGAGAGAGGAGGAGGATTAAAAAAAGAATGAAAAAACGTTGGTACACATCTGTGAGTCTTATATATGCTGTCTACCTCAAACATTAACTCTTTTCACTTTTCCATTTTTAAGTCCATTTACACGACGCAGAAAAACTGTACGTATTATACATATATAATAATTATAGAACGTTAGTTGACATTTCAAACAGTTTTATCAACGACGATTTGTCAACAAAAGTACATACTACTGTAAGTAGAAAACCATAATTCGGCACATCTGATTATTGCCACCTGTTTCTATTGAGCTTAGTAAATGCCAGTCTGATCACTGTCGGTATTTACTACTTCATAGCATTGGATCCTTTTGATTACATTTCTGACGTCGCTAAAATCAAATTTCTTGAATGAAGATTTACTATAAAATGGAAAAAACACGTATATTATTGGTATTCTTACACAGCTTTACAAAGCTGCATAATCATAATATAAAGATACTTTTTCTTTTATTTTTTGTTTTTTAATGATAGACATTTTAAATGAAAATTATCTGTTGTATTACGCAAGATCATTCCAGACAACGAAGTTTAATATAATATCATCTTAAGAAGCATATAACTGTACATTTGATACTTGTTGTATTACTTTATGACTCACTTCATTATACTATGTCTACCAGTATTTCTTATGGTATATCTCATTGCTTTCTACAAGCTTAAAAACAATCTATATCTTTTGTATTTTACATACATTATCTACAGATACATTGTGAAACTATATATCCAATTAATAAATAGAGTGATATGAAAATAATTGTATGACGAATAATTTTAAACAAATAATTTTGTTTCTCTGTGTAAAGTCTTTTTATAAGGGCATAATTATTACAATACGTAATTTAAACGATTATGCTTCTTTAATCGTCAGATTGATTTTTTTATAGATATATTCCGATGTTATCGAACGTTTATCGAGGAACATATCGCGTTATATACATACGCGTATAATTCGAAAGTTCCTGTATGGATTAAATTAAATGATGATATTATCTAAAAGATTTAAAATTTGTTTAACTTACGTGATTACTGATTAGAAATGATATCCGCACTTTCCCAATTTTTTACATGATATTTTCAAATATCACAATAGATTACGAAGTTGCCGTATCTCTGCGCCCAGTGAAAGATACGATTGATCGGATACCCTTTACCGACGTCTGTAAACAATAAATTTAACAAGTATATATTGTTAAATTAAAATGTATACATTAGTGTAGAAGTGGATGGTTTGAGGTTTTCAAATCTTCCCTCACCTTCTTCTTCGAACCATTAAGAAAGTCTTTGTACATCTCAGAACGAAGATATCTCGAATAACTATCACTCTTCATGAGATGATAAACATGAGCCTGAGAGGAGAAATTTTTTTTTCTTCTTTTTTTTTTTTTTATATGAAAAATAGAAACATATAATAAATATTATACAAAAATTATACCGCAGCGACATCGAAACACCAACGATCAGGTTTTTCCAAATTTTTTTTCGTTATTTCGAAGGACCTAGAATCGACGTTAATTGGACAGCTCGCATCTGGACCCAAAAATTCATTCCAAATTTCTTCAACCTTAACGTTAACATCTTTCTGCGAGAAGGTTTTCAATTCCTGTACGGTCTCCCAAAATCTGTACACAGCAGAAAAATCTCGTTTATCCGACATACATTCATTTTTGTAACGAAATACATGTATATAACATTTAGCATTGAAAATATAAGAGACGAATAACGCCATGTTAGATCCTTACTTGAGATTTTCACTGCTAAATTCTTTTTCCAAAAATCGTATAAATTGTTCTCTACCGACCGGATCCTGTAACAATTCCTGAAGGCCAAACGCCCATCTCTTCACTCTTCTCGTAGATACTTCTTTCCTATTCGAAAAAAAAAAAAATATGCTTCAGCTTTTTATTCTATTTTATAATTATTTACAAAATAATGACAAAAGCTATTTACGCTATTTTCTCTTGCTCCCACATTTCCGGATTATCCGATATCCACGGATTTGTAAATTCAGGTTGAGTAAAAAATGGATCATACTCGGAATACTGTTCGAAGTATCCGATAAGACTGAAATTTGAAATTTAGATAAATTGACAGTGTTTTATGAACATTTTATGAACTTTATAATTAAAGGAATGAGATGTTACGCGGACATCGAACTTACGCTTCCGCAACTTTAGAAACTTTGATATTTCTCCTATCCAATCTATCCTTCAACATGTCAATTTCCTTTTGCAACGATTCTATCGTAAACGTTATGTAAGATTCCGAATGGGGAGAAATTCTTCCACCAGCGATCCCAAGTTTCAGATGTTTACTAGATCTCAAGTTTGGTTTTTGACTGCGACATGCTTTCTTGATATCGAGTTCTGTCGTATTTACACAGCCAGGCTGTAATCAGTGTCGTTGTGATAGGGTTTGTAAGATAAATTGAAAGAACATCGTTCAGTCGATGCTACAAGTTTTTTCTTTTATTTTTTTTTTTGTATTCCCCGAAAGAGAGAATAAAGCACACATTTTGAGTGAAAAAAAATTCTTGTAAAATCTTTTACCATCGGCCGATGCACGTCCCAAAAGGCTCTCTCTTGACTGTCCAATACTTTCCTTTCCAGTTTATCTCTCTTTTTATCGACTTTACTCTGTGCTTCCGCTTGCATAAAAATGAACTCCCACTTTCGAGAGAACATTTTCTGCAATCTAGCTAGATTCTCAGCTTCATAATCAGCCAATTCGAGACGCGTTTTATTTTGCATCGTTCTTTTGCACAGATAAACGGCTACGATTCGAAATATACGAACGTTATTTTATTTATTGTTTTATATAAACCTAAATAAAACAAAACATGTACAAATATAATTTAAGATTATATTTTATTACCGTAATCGGTATTCTCTGGTTCCCAAGAATTCGATGGCCAAAAATAAGGTGTTTGAAATCTATAGAATGTGTTATCGTTTTTAACGGTAAGACAATGATCATCAATGGGAAAGAAATAACCATGAGATGACATGAGATGTGCCACGTGAAGAGCCTCTATATATTAAAAAGTTATGAGATAATAATTAAAAATTTACTCGGTAATTAATTTGAAAAAGAAACATTGACTCTACATATACACATAGGTATGTTTATATATATCTATCTATCTATCTATCTATATATATATATATATATATATATATATATATATATATACCTTGATCATCGATATCCATAGTTTTCATCATCCACGATATCAAATCGGAACCTAAAAATTCGCGTAAATATAAAAAATCATGCGAGTTAGAAATACAAATCTTCGTTCGATCATTCGACATCGATACTACCTGTGAAAACTGATGGAGTTTTTGTCATGAAACTTTTTACTGTTCTTACAGGGACACCTGTAGCTTCCTCCAACATTTTTTCCATTAGAGATTCCATCTGAAAGAACGTAGGTATACTTTTCCCCGTAGATACTTGATAATTTTCGGATGGCTGTTAAATATTTTTCTCGTACAACGACGTTTCGTGTTCAACGTGACAAATAAATTTCATTCATACGTGAACTCTCTTAACAGAGATATTGTACAAATCGATCAGTTAGAATGATAAAGATATCATGCGAGATACCTTTTTGTAGACGAGATAATTTGGCGTATCTTCAGCGCAACAGGCAGTGACACGATGCGTGGGTGTATTCTGTTTCTCAACATTCTCCTCGGTTCGATCATTCTCTTCCCTGTCGCCAGTTTGATCCGATGATTCTCTCGTATCATTATTCTCTATTGGCTTTCGGCGGGAGGCCGACTTTTCGGAGCTCATAGTTACCATATTATACGCTTTAAGATCGTAGCAGTATTTCACAATCTATATTACATTGAAAACTTTTAACACGATGAAAACGCAAAGAACATTTATTCTCAAATTATAAGGATAAACAAAAGAAAATTTATTGAAAATCTTCTTTTTTTTTTTTTTTTTTTTTTTACTTTTTTAATTTCTAACGATTCTCTATTATCGATACTAACGATTCGGGATGTAGAACAACAGTGTCCGTCGTTGATTCACCGCGCGCGCATTGCGGTCGTCGAAGGGCTCTTCTCGAGAAAGAGAAGAGAGAGGTTCAACTTTTCTTTTTTTCTTTTTTTATTCCCTTCTCCTCCCTATTCGACGTTAACCGTAGTTTGATAAAACGATATCGATCTTCTAATATGACGAATATTAAAACAACGTATCATCGTTTCTCTTGTAATCCTTGATTTCAACGATTTCATTTTCTCCATTCTCTCTCTCTCTCTCTCTCTCTCTCTCTCTCTCTCTCTCTCTCTCTCTCTCTCTGTTTTTTTGTTTTTTTAGCACTTCAATAATAAGATCCTGTTGGTTACGAGGTCACACATTATCGCGAATAATTATCGTAATTTTGTTATATAGAACAAGTAGATTTCACATCGCACGCGTTCTAAACACGCACATACATACACACGCTCACACACAAGAAACGTAAATCTCGAGTACCTACCAATAAATAACTTTAATAAAACGACCTCTCGATATTTATTTTCCGAAGGACATTGGATCGCATAGGACGTGAATAAACAACGTGCGAGCGCAAACGCGTAGAAAAGGAATAAACACAAGGATGCACAAAATAGACAATTGACTAACTATGTGTGTGTGGATTGAAAGAGGAGGGAAAATTAAAGTAAGAGTATATAATGAGAGCACGGAGTAGTCGATTCTACGAACGTCAAAATCGAACTCCTACATACGTTGGCCTGGTGATCACGAGCACGGTGCTGCGCGTTCACTTTGCGACTGCGTGCTCTTCCTACAAACGACGACAACGAAGCAAAGCTGCTAACATGTAAATGTATAGAAAAAGAAACAGGGGATCCAAGTGGCACAAATATCGGCCCTTTACACTGTCCTCGGGCAACCATGTATCGATCACTTTTAAAAGGCCAAATCATTTTCGAAATCCTTCGAATTATTTCCGTTCTTTTTTAGATCATCCTCTGTTTTATTATCTTCGCTCTCTAATATAAAATTTTTTATATCAAACTCGACTAACTCTTATCAAATTATTTGTAATTTGACAAAATGAAAAGTCGCATATATATTTCAAAGGTCGCTAACAATGAATAGATAATATTAGATAATGAAAATAAAATATAAACGGCCCTGTGCCATTAAGTCGCCTTTATTTTTTTGCATCTTTGAATTCAATAAAATTCTTAAACTCAAATTTTCTTTCATTCCCTCTCTCTCTCTTTCTCTCTCTCTCTCTCTCTCTCTCTCTCTCTCTCTCTCTCTCTCTCTCTCTCTCTCTCTCTCTCTCTCGCTTTCATACATTATTTTATATATAATTCTGTTCTTTCATTTATTACTCCGTGCAGTACGATTTCCATTCTAACATTGTTAAATCTTTTATTTGTTATTTTTTTTTATTTCTTTAGCATATATCTCTCGCTCGCTCACGCTCTTTCTCTCTTTCTTTCTTTCTCTCTCTCTCTCTCTTTTTCTCTTAGTACATACATGTTATTAAATATAAACTTATTCTACATTCATACATACACGCACGCACACGCACACACATATAATAAAAGTAAATACAGAAACCAATGATTAACAATATTGTTCCCAATCGTTTCTTCGAAACGTATTTGTTAAAGCGTTATTCGGAACATTTGCGAACGGACAATAGACATTCCACAAAATTTTTTCTTTCAAAAATATATATACACATATTGTATTTTGAATAATAAATTGTGATCAAAAAGGGACAGATCATTCCACTATTGTATTGTTTCCACTAATCTTTGTATCTGCCTGGTGCGAGATTCATCACAGACATCATAACAAGAGATAGAACTTAAATCTTAGAAATATCGATGCCAACGAATCATTCTATTGTAAACTCATTTTCATTTGTACAATCTCAATCACCTGCTGAACTTGACATTTGCATATATTTATATGTATATATATACATATATATATGTATATGCGCATATATATACATACATACACATGCATCCACTATTTCAATAAATACATAACAATGGATACAAGATATATAATTTTAAAGCAAATGTTTTTATATAGTGATGTTATGCAATATTGCATGGATTTTCGATATCGTCAGCAAAGTAAAAGAATGTAAAGAAAAATAAAATTGTCGAATATATTCAATAAAATCGTAATAAAAATCTTCGCTTTAGAAAAAATTGTTTAAACATTTTTTTTTAAAACATCCATTGATATCGCGACAATCATATTATTGTTGTAAAATCATCGATCGAATCATCAAAATTTCATTTTAGCATAGAATGCACTATTAATATTAAAAAGTAAGAAAGTGTTTATAAATGTGAAATTATAATCTAATCTTACGGAAAGGCCAAGTTTATATCTCTTGATCTAAATCTTGATCCATACATACACTTATCCAATAGATACAAGAGCGTGTTATTTTTCATTAGATCTTTACTTATATACAATAAAACGTATTATGTCAAAGTTAAGATCTTTTTAAAGATAATAAATAAAAATTTTAAGATTTTTAAGCACAATAATATAATAAATTTTTTTTTTAACAATATCCTTCATTAACCTTCATTCCCCTTATAAAAAATTTGACTCGAGTTTTTTTTGTCGATACATTTTCTCCGTTGCACGGAATATATATATATGTGTGTGTCCATAATATATTTATATATACACACACATATACATACATGACACATGCAAACGTTCATTCATGCATATTCACTTACTTACATACATACATACGTACATACATACATACATACATATTGCGTACATGTTTTTCGTGTAATTCCGGATGACTTTCAGTCAGTTACTTTCCGAATTGCACTTTTCGTCGTTATCACCTATAAATGATCTTTTTTTTTACTTTTATTTTTGTTTTCCTTTTTTTTTACTTTTAAGAGTTTAATTTAAACAACAATACACATTTAGTACATTTATTTAAGTAGTAATTAAAGTCGTCCGCACTGTCTTTTTAACGGTTCGTGAACATCGTAAAATATGTTTAAACACGACGTGAACACAGCGATCGGACATTTAAGTTTAAGTTGCGATTTAGAATGGACCGACTTGTCTTTAAGACTAGATATGATCGTCCATTATCATATACATACTCTGTTGCTCTACGTTGAAAATACGCAGGCGGAAATACGAACAACATGTGCACTGCACCCTACTTGTTCGTTCATCTATTAAATCTTTCTTTCTTTTTCCTTTTCTTTCTTATAAACGTTCCAACTAAAGATTAGTAAAAATAAGTGTTGCGTGAACATCATTGAGCAACAAAATGTACAGTCCGTTCTCCATTTTTTTTTTCAACCAACATTTACAATTTTTTCACTATTATAAATTCTTTTAGATGAATATCGCTACCGCAATGTTGTGACCTGCACTTCCTTTTTATCTGGTTAATCCTTTAACCGTTTTTTATTTTGGTCGCGTATGGACATTAAATACATATATATATATTTTTAATCTTTTTTCTTTTTTTTTTTCCCTTAAATTCGCCAGTTGACATAACGACGATACTTTGGCTCGAGCTGTTTCTTCGTTTCCTCGAGTTCATTTATCTCATCGTCGTCATCGTCGTCGTCGTAAATTGTCTCTTTGTCCTCGTTCTCTTCCTCGTCCTCGTCCTCGTCCTCTTCATCTTCATCCTCCTCTTTGTCTTCTGTGTGGTCCACTTTACTTGGGACTACAATTAATAACAAATTAACATTGACTTTACGAAATACCACAAATCAATCACAAGATATCTATTTATACTACTCGCGTTGAATCTTTTTTTTTTTTTTTTTGACTTAATTAATTTAAATTTCTTCTCTAACGAGGACCGGATTATCTGATACAGTAAAGTAAATAAATATTTCACATAATTAATATACAACGACGTATTAACATTAAATTCAGTTGATTTTTTATTAAAGCTTAATTTTTTCTATTCACCAGATAAACAAAGAACATAGAAATTAATAAAATATTTATTGTTAATTGTAGAAACCAAAAAGAAAAATCATTGTGATGCAATTATAATTGCATGTGAGTTGAAAGCATAGAATGTAGTTTTAAGGAGTAAAAACACTCGATCATTATTCACTATTATGAAAAAGAAATGCATAATGTTTTATTTTTACTTTACTGTACCAACGATATGATTTTTCTATTAGCTTCGTATAATTTAGTAAATGAAAAAAAAGTTCTGCTAGGTTTTCATTAATGAAGGATATGTCTGATAAATGATATAAATGAAATGAATGATAATGAGGGCCATATTTCCCTTTGTGAAAATAATATATGCGCTCTCGATTAGTTAGGCAAAGACATTACTGTACGGTATAAGCGTGGCATAATAAAGGATTAATTTGAAATTACAAAAAAATAAGCAAGTATAGTAGTCTTGAAAACGAACGTAGAAAATGATGGAACGCCAGCCAACCCAATTTTCCTCTGGCACAACAGCATATATATCGAGGCACTATTAAAAGAGCAATTGATTCCATATGTTCCATCAAAATGTATTTAAATGCAGCAATGAATTGGTCCATCGACGACACACACATTTTGCAGAAATAAAAACATGACTTGCGTATATGATGAATTGCAGCCTAATCAATCGTTGAGTTGCAAAGAAATAAGTATGATGAAGGCATGTTATGCACCGAGTTATTAAATTTTTCATATATATATATATATATATATATGAAAAATTTATATATATATATATTGCAGAGCGCTACATGTATGCATTAGATGTATCGAATCTTTTTTTATCTGCCTTCATGAATGCAAATAACACCGCTTTGTATATGATTTATGCATAATTAAAGATTTATGAAAAATCATAAAAATATATTGTAAATAATGTCAAAGCTGCAGACAATAATTGATTTGTTATCGACGATATCAAAACTTGCAAAATATTTGTTTCATTTTCATTTGTGCGATGCATTAACGTTAGTATCCACAAGTTAAAGAATAATTCATACAAATGAAAATGCATTGAAAAGCGATTTTACCCCTTAAAACTTTGATATGAATACAAAATTAATCAACTGCATTTATCTTATCTTTATCTTCGATTTTATTTAAATAGAATTATTCCGAAATAAAAAATGCACCGAAAAAAATATCGTTAAGATAGACGTGTATATCTCGTTTCCAATTTTTTTTTTTTTTTTATTTAATATTTATTTTCAAAGAAAATATTCAAATTGCTTGTTTGAAAATATTATTCCGCCAACATGTATAACTTACCTTGTAACATGAAAAACTACAGGCGGTTCAGCAACTATCCTATCATCTTCTTCAGAATTTGTTCCAACCGCCGCATTATTCGTGATTTCTATTCCACCTATCGAGCACGTAGACGTAACCACTGCGCATTTTACCATTTCAAGATACGAATAATTTACTTCTTTTACAGTATCATTATTTCTCGTTTGTATATGTTCAATGATATCAGATTTGAAATCTGTGAGATCATTAATGCGCTTACGGGGACATTCAGCGTTGTCATCAACATTGCACGATGTTTTCTTCGGGATTTCGCTTTTAACAGTATCGTCTGTGTTAGGATTAATTTTAACACATACCAATGAACATTCAGATTCAATTCCGGAATCAACGCTTTCCTGGAAACTCTCTTTATGTTGCGGCTGAACGACCTCTGGAATGTTATCTTCTGAAGTTGACAAATTGGATTCCTCGATTCCTGAATCTTGACTATTCCTATGAATATTTTCTGGCTTTTTAATAAGTAAAGTTGTAGACGAATGAGATGTCTGAGGTAGATCGAAAAATGAAGTTTCTGTTTCTACTGCATTCTGTTGCCATGCGTCAGAAACTATATTAGGTAAATGTGTTTCTTCTTTAACAGAGTTTCCATCGTTAGATATATCAGTAATACAAAATATAAGATCTTCAGAGTCTGATTTTTCAAAATCTTGAAGAGTTTTTTTAACAGAGGCAGAAACATTTTCTCTTATCTGTGGTAATATTACAGTTGGAAGTATAGTAAAGTCAGATTCCTTACCAGAAGGCTTCTTTATATTATTTTCTATATAATTGTTAACTTTAACATCTTTAGATACAATTGGACATGCATCAATATTATTTGGTTTGGATAACAATGTCTCTTCTGTAATAAGATCATTTAATGTATCCTCTTTCCATAAAGCA